AACTTGAATTTATTTTCAAATGAAAGAAAATAATTTCTTCATTTCGCGCCTAACTATAAATCAATTTTGCCTAAGTTTAATTTTGCCTAAAGTTCAATTTTGCCTAGGACATATATCTTAAATCAACAAATTTTCAATAAAACTGAATGAGTTTATTTCTTTCTGGGATAGAATACCATTGGAGACGCAGCATCAAACAACTGCTGTAAAAAAACCAACCTTTTTCGGCAAAAAACGAATTTTTTTTTAGATGAGAACCTTGATTTTAACAAGGATATAGCTTAAAGTCATAATGTTTGTGAAAACAATGCACATGGATGTATCGAACCATGCTTTTTCTTAAAAAGTGATTTTTTTCCCAGAGGTCTTAATCATAGTTTTAGCAATTTTCGGTTCCCGGTACCGCCGGGCTCTAGTTATCATCTTTTTTCTTCACATAAAAAGTATGAATTGAAAAACAAAAACTAAGCCTATCAGTGTGTCCGACTCGGGTTGGGTCAGGATGTGCTCGGATCGGGTCATTAAATAATTTTTTGGACTCGGGTCAGATCACAAAAAATTGATCGATTTCGAGTTTCACATAAAATAAACAGCAATTTGAGATGTGATAATGATTTCTTTACTCTGATTATTGAGAGAGCATTTATAGATTCAGTAAGAGGTACCTAATCGTCATAGAAATTTTGCTTCGATTGTCTGAAAATTATCTGTTGACCTTGGGTTGGATTGGATCGGGTCAAGTCATGCTCGGGTCAGATCACAAAAAAAGTGACCCACGTCGGACATTGAAATCTATAGAATGAACGCTCACAGAGGATTTCCGATTGCCAAATGAGCTATTTTTGACCGTTGTTTGTTGAATATCTTCTACAAAAAAACATCATGGTATAGATCTGAAAATTTTAACATAGCCTCTCCACTAAAGCTTATATGATTTGAATGTGCACTTGGCTCACAAGATCGATTTCTGAGGTGTGAGGAACTTAATTACCTATCAGATTGTAAATTGTTTGAACTGGAAGAATATCTTTATATTCAGTTAGAGTAAGACCAGATCGTAAAGCTCTTTCAGGATTATTTGCTTTAAATTGACGTTGAGCAAGAATATAGAAATGATAAGCTTCAGCTGGACGCCAAACATTATCAAGTAATTGTGTATCAGAAACACCTGCTGAACCTGTTGTTTCTTCTGTTAATAAACCTTGTAAAGCATCAAATGCCTATTAAAAGGAGAGAAAAAAAATTTTTTATTCTATATGAAATGAATATTATTTGTTTTTATATACCGAAATTGCTGCTGTTGATTTTTTTTCTTTTCATGATGTTTGTTTCATTGCAGTACGATATTGTTCAATAAGTAAACCATATAAAATATACATTTTTTTCTTCATTATTAATAGTCGATTTTCTTTACTATGATTTTCAGCAATCTAAAAACAAAACAAAAAATTTAAATCATAACAAAAAATAAAATATTTTTGTTTACTCCATAGAGAATTTTTGGCTGCTTCTAAATAATTTCCAGATTTTTTATATAATTCAATAGCATCAAATGGTTTATTTTGATTAAGTAATGTTTTTGCTTGTCGTGTTAATAAAGCTTTAAGCTCACTTAAATTATAATGACGAGCTAATTCTATTCCCATATTCCATTGACTTAATTCAATACACATTTGTACTGCTTCTTGTATTCGATTACACTAAATTTAAAAAAAAAATAAATTATTTACAATAAAAACTAAAAAATTTACTCGTTTATATGCATCAACTACTTATTCAGATAAACCAACACTAGCAAAAGTATCAGCTATAGGCTATTAAAAAAAAGTTAATCTTATTTTTTGAAATTAATCAAGGAAAATTTTTACTCTAAGTAAAGGATCATTTTCTTGTAATGATTGACTAAGTTTTTCTAAAGTAACATAATCTTCTGTTAATGCATAACAATGAAATAATTGAGAATTATTTCTACTTTGTTCATAATATTTAGCAGCTGTAGCCCTTGAAACAAAAAAAATCAAATTAAAGTAAACAAAGATAAATATGTTGAAGAATAAAATGATTAACCATTGTTGTCGATCATAATAAAAATCTCCTAATTCATCCATGCTTCATTTTGCATAGCATCACTAGCTATAGCACCTGATTGAAGAATTTGTACAACACGAAACCAATCACCTAATTTACGTCGTAATTGATTAACTAAATCCCTACAAATCGACAATATGAAAATTTATTGGTTCTATTTTTTTTCTTTACTTTAGATTTATTATTCAACAATTAAATGTAATAATAAGTTAAAATAAAGTGTTAATTTTCAGATAATTGAACAAGTGCAAAGGAGAAGACGATGACAATGAGTGAAGTCATACAATGTCTAATGTCCAGATGCAAATTCAACATGAATCTATTGGAGATTGTCTAGAATATCTCATCGAATTCAATAACGAAGACATGTGTTCAAAGAGAGTTTTCCATTGGGCCGCATATTGGTGCATTAGTGTGTGGGTGTGGGTGTGGATGTGTTTCTTTTCTTGTCACACCCACACCTAAGCAATGGTAACCAAACATAACTTAATGCGACATAAACCTAACTAATATAAACTTCGGCCATAGTCGGATATTGATTATGATGGTTCTAAGTTACATATTCCCTAGTTCCCAAAGTACTAGACCAATTTGGATAGACAGAACTTGATAGATATAAATATGGTTGTGTGTTATAACCGAATTCTATGGAAGAGATGCTAGTTTTTATAGACTAGTGCACATACTCTATTCGATGCTTATTCGTTAACTACGGTAGTTGCATGGATATGCTTGATTATCTAGTATATACCAATTATTTTCTATTTAGAAAGTGCAACAATAAAACGTGCTTGCATTAAAATGAAACTTTCCAGTGGTGTATCAAAAAATGAAATTTTGCAAGTAGAAAGAGACATTTAATCCTTTTCGGTCCATAGCTAAACCAATGGACGAAATTTCTTTGAGACTTTATATTTTATATGGGCATTAAGAATTGTTGATATTTTCATCAAAACTTTTTAAAAAATCTTTAAAGTCATTTTCGATCTTTACCCATACTCCTCCACAGGGATAGCGACGAAGTATATTGACCGTCCCTGTGAAGAAGTACGGGTATGAGTCAAAATTCGATTGAGAGCTGTCGCCAAATCAACCTTTGGAATATTACTAGGGGCCACTCCTAACTTGATTTCAACACGTAAAACTGAAGTATTTTGCGGACCGCAGAAGAGCATTATCCGCCCTCCTTCTTTTTAGGATAGAAGTGGTGTTCCAAAGATCCATCAGGCTTACTACTATAGTGATCTCATTAGGGCGATAACCCTTGTATAGATGTATACATCGAAGTCTCTTTTATGTTACACAGAAAACCGTACTTCGATATCATCTCGCGTTCGCGAGTTATTCAAAGATTAAGAAATTTGAAAAAAGCGTACTATATTTAGTATGGTGGGCCTGAAAGGGTTAAAAAGGGTGTGGGTGTGGGTGTGTGGATGTGGATGTGGCATATGGGTATGGGTGCGGGTGGGGATGAAAAGAAGAATCACACCCATATCCACACACTCACACGCACAACCACATCCACACCCACACCCCGAAATGTTGTATCAACGATGATCGATCTTACATTTCAGCCATCAGCTTCTGGTTGTAACGAAGCTAAACCATACGAAGAAGCTGCTATTGGCTAGAATCCAGAGATCTTATATTAGTGTAGTCCACTTGCTACGGTATTTATACGAAATCATGCAATGCGATTGAGACTTCATTAGCTAACAACTTAACTTTCACAGCTAATAATAATCTGTCTATAGTACACATAAGCCATAGTCAAACGAATAATTACTTTAGAAATATTAGCTATCCAAGTTTGGTTCGAATTCGTAAAGCTTATTTTTATGAACAATAGGCGAACAATAATTATTTCCCCTCAATATGGATATTTACTCTACTGATCAATATGTGGAAGTAGAGTACAGATATAGATAAATAGCTTATATCGAAAGACAGCAAACATGAAGCATAAAATGAGAAGAATGAAACAATTCTAGATTACTATATAACAATTTAAAATGAATAAATAATGATTGCATAAGCTCAACAAAAAGCGTTCATCATTGATCATGAACTATCGTTATTACTATAGAAAAAGCTGTTTTATATGTGAATCAATTATCTATAGAAAACAAAATGACAGAGTTGTAACAATTGCTATATTATATGAGAGACACTACATAGTTATGATTGATGAGTTTACTTAAATTTTTCTGTTCAAAATAATTCATCTATTTCTTATTTCTCATGTTATACTTCATTTTGAACTTAGATCATGAAGAAAATGTATGACTATAGAAAATAATACGACCAATTGATATGACCAACATATTGTTATCTTTTCTCATTACAATAAAATATCTATTATTGAACATTTCTCCTAAATAATCAACCCGTTATACTGAACCCCTTCCGATCCTACCGAGCGAATTTTGTTGAATTTTACCTTCTCCTAAATGATCATCTCGTGTTTCTCAATATGAACGCTTTTCTTTCAATCTCTGTCATATAAATCAACTTGTATAATATGCACATCAACATATGGCACCACATATCTGTGAGATAAAATTTCGTATCTGATTGGTTCGTCCTAAAATTCGTAATAGAGAAATGATTGCATGCATCGAAAAAACGATCTTGTCTTTGTTCTCCATTTGACAATCGTTTATTATTAAATATCACTATAGCATCTCATTCTAAGCTCAATCTAGGAGAAGAAATGACTTTGACACCCACTATAGATGTTGGAACATCGAGGACATTACGTCTGAAGTCAAAACACCTACATGAAATCCTATTGACTTCGACAAAACTTCATAAATAACTTTGTGAGAATCGTGTTTGGAATTTAACTGATGTATTCTATAATAAATCGGATTATTCTCACACTTTTTCATACTTGGATCTCATGTCGAGATCCTTGACATCACTTTTTCGCAAATTCCGACAAAATTCTATCAGATTCAACAAAATTCGACAGTTTTCTTGATAGAATTCGTCAGAACTTAACTGTGGAATCATTTAACCTGAGATCTTTAACATTGAAAATAGATAAAAGAATTTAGATTGAATTAATTGGAATGAATTATTTAAAGGGAAGCAATTTTCATGAAAAACTTGAAGTTTGTTCATGTTTGCATGAAAATTCCCTCTAAAATGATCACTCTACTAATATAAACGATTTTCATTGGTTCCGACAGTGTTTCTATAGGAGAGATTTTACTGTATATTTCTTTCCAGTTGAAAATAGACGGTCAACTTTCTTTCTCATTTCATAGCTGACGACAATATTGCTCATAGATAGGTTATTATAAAGCATATAATATATTCTTTTGTAGATATTCTGTCATTTGATACATTTCTTACTCCAAATAAACTGAATCATATTATTGTTATTTCATATTTATAGAAATGGATACACAAACTTATTTAGAAGATTTATCAAACGAGATTTTCTTCGAAATATTTGATTATTTACATGCACTTGATATATTTACTGCATTTGCTTCATTGAATAAACGAATTTCATCGATATTACAATCAATTCCACTTCATGTTATTGTTTCAATTATTCATTGTCGTAATCAAATTGATTTTCTTTCTTCTCATCTTATTTTTCATGCTCATCAAGTTATTTCAATAAGAATGAGTGATACAATTCGTGATGATACATCTATGATTAGTTTATTATTTAATCGACATAATTTTATTAATCTTCAATTTTTTATGCTTGTCACAGTCGATCGATCAACGAAACTTGATAATTTTATTAAACAAATAAAAACTTGTGATAAACTTGTTTCATTCAAGATTTCTAATCCAGATGATGAAACTATGAATGAAAGTGATAAATGTGAATTAGTTCGAACTATGTTTATGCACAAATCATCTTTTCTTCGTTCAATTGTCCTTCAGTATACTTATGATTATTCCAATATTTTAAATAATATTTCACTAACTTCAAATGTTACATTATTGTATTTATGTATAGATGATTCACCTTCAAATATATCTATTCATTCAATTTTATCAATTCTTCGTCTTTGTCATAGAGTACGTTATATAGGCATATTAGTGAAAGAGAACGATCTAGTTGACAATAATAATACCCTGTAAGTTGTTAGATAGGGAATGTATTAGTTGAAAAAGTTTGAAATTAAAAAAAAGAAATTATTTTTTGTTTTAGTGTTCCAATTACAATACCATCTATCAATGAAAATG